AAAAGAGAAGCAAAGAAGGAAAAAATGGTGGGTGGAGATTTTGAAGAGAAAAAAATATTGAACGGTGGAGATTTTGCATAGAAGAATCTCAAGGATTATCTCTTTCTTTTGATTGGTTCAACAAGAGTTACGCGGATTGCCAACGTGGCATTTATCATTTTGACTTAGAGCATGTACATTGGAGGGTTTAAGAGGGAGTTCTCAAAATATAAAAATATTAAAACACACACTCCCTCTTCCTTTTACTCAACTTTATACCTTCTCTTTCATCCTTTTACTCAATTTTTATTAATTTTATATTTAAACACTCTCTCTCACTTTTAAAAACACTCTCCAAAAAGTTCTCATTTGAGAACTTTTCCAAAAATTCTACATTAAATACACTCACTATCTCTTCTCTTTACTCAAATTTTATTAATTTTATATTTCAATACACCCCACAAAAACACTCTCTTTCTTCCTTTTACTCAAATTTTAATAGTTTTATATTTTGAGAACCCCTATTAAACCCCCCAATGTACATGCTCTTACATAATATGTCGAGAGCAGTTTTTTTATCATATACTATAGATTTTTTTTTGGTAGGAAATATTCACTTGTAGATACAATACTAAACCATAATTGTAAGTCATTGAATTTATTTATAGTTATAATCCTAAACCATGATTAAAAATCCATGAATTTTGTATAGAAATTGAATTTCATCAAAAATTATTAAGAATATAAATCATATCTAAAGTAAAAAAATATTATTAAGAATATAAATCATATCTAAAGTAAACTTGTCTTTTAATACCATACCTACACCCTAAATAGGTAAATTCGATACATGATACAAAACTTAAATATACTATACAAATTTTTAAAATCTCATCAATATCTTAAGTTACATATGTAATGTGATACCATAAACCTTAAAACAAACATTGATTATTCATAAAAGCCGAAACTCAATATCAAAGGTTATTTTTATGTACAATGATACCCTAAACCCTTAAATCAAACACTAATAAAAAGTCAAAACCCTATATCAAAATTATTTATGTATTATGATACCTTAAATCAAATATTTGTTTATCCAAAACCCTATATCACAATTTTTGTATGTATTGCTATACCCTAAATCCTAAATCAAAGACTCATTATATTTCTTTTTATTTTATTTTGTATGCTTAAACTTTTTATATAGTTTCTGAAACAATAACTTATTGTATTTTTTTATATAGTTTGTGAAACCCTAAACCCGAGTTTAAGAAGAAGCTTAAAGCATATCAAGATTTTTTTTAATTGAAGTACTTTTTTTTGGACTAATTTTGTTTTGTGCTTTTCTTTAGGTGGTAATATGTTTCATTTTCTTAGTATCTCTATAATATT